ATTCCTGCTCACCCACACTTTCCTAGTGTGTGTCACAGTCAATTTTAAGATGCCCAAGAAATGCCTAGAATTACTGTGAGGTCTTCAAAGCCATTCCCTGACAAATTTATGAAAGGAACTTAATGTATGTGAAAATTTGGTTTTTAATAGTTCATATGAAGTGTTTTTACTTCATCTTCTGCTGATGTCAGATACTATGATGTCACAACGACCGCTGGTGGTACCACACAAAAAAGGCTGTGTTCAGAAGTGAACATTAAGCAGTATGAAAGAAAAGCAATTTTTCTTTTTATGCAAATAATTGCAGTATAGCATGCTGGTATAATTTCTACTTAGGTCTTGATTCACATGCTAGTAAACTGCTTTCATTCAAACATTACACACATAACAGCAATCAAAACACATTTTTCTACTTTAGTTGTAGATTTACAATAGTATTAGAGAATTACTTATACATAAAAACACACAGCATGCTACATGTGGTATTTGTATTGTATCTCAATTACTCAAGCAACTTAGTGAAAAGCACAGCTACAGCTGCTGCTCGGGGTAAGTCAGGACTTCCACGGGGGAAGGCAGAAACCCGGTGCAGCCAGCTCCCACTACAAAATTTGTTTTAGTAACAAAAAATGAGCACACAAAATATTGTGCAGAAGCCAAGCAGTTTAGAAATACCACTGCTCAAGCTTTTAAATAAAGCACAACAGCTCTTTAATAACTAGTCCAGAAGCCGTCCCACGCTGAAGTTATTTATATTTACCAAGCTGTCTTTGGCAGAAAATTATTTCACTTCCTTTTGGCTACGCAAGGAAAGAAGTGCTCCAAACATAAGAAACAGTCGTTTTCATGCTTTTTTGTATGATGTTTATATAAATCTTAGTAGTTAATAAAAATTACAAAGAAGAATAATTTAAACTCATGTTTTAATACTCAAGGTTTAGTTAAGAATTTTATTTCAGAACATTTTCTAAACTACACAGATGACAGCTCATGTAATAGCTTTTCTAAGAAGCTACATACTTATATTAGTTGAATGTTTTATTCTTAATAGTTGGTGGTGTCAATTTCTTCTGAGAATTTAGCACTTCTTGGAGATGTAGGGGTAGAGAAAAAGAAAAGGAGAAAAGGGGCAATATCTGAAAAACAGTCCTTACTCATTTGCAATGTAGATAACTTTGTGCTTCTTGATCGTTTCTATGTCATGCTCCAGTTGTTTCATCTGTGTCTCCAGCTTTTCTTTATGTAACATCTTGGGTATGGTGTCTGTTTTTACTGGAAGACACTGAAATTCACGATACACTTCATCCCAGTTCTTTTTCAGCCCCTAGTGCCATTACATGAAAAGGAGATATATGAGAAAACCTTACTTCATTAAGAATAATATACCATAAACCACTTAGGGTTTTTTGTTATTATTGTATTTGGTGTCACTGTCGTGTTAAAATAATACATAAATATATGCATAATGTTTAATCATCTTAATTGGACAAAGTTAATTAATGCTTAAAGGTCCAAATAGTTGCAACAGAAGTAATTCTGACTCATTTTGATGCAATATAAGGAGTGGTCTTTAAAAGAGTCTATACCTTGGAGAGAAACAATTACAGTTTTTAAGAGGCACCAACACAATAATTAATCTAGCCAATGAAGGACAAGCTACAAAAATGCTAAACTGAAAAAAGTATGTCAATGTGTTAACTCTCTAGCCTACCAGGAACTCAAGGAAGCCTGTACACTTCATTTCCAGTCCTCAGTATCTTCAAGAAAAACTGCACAAGGTAAATGAAGAATGGCTCTTTCTTATTTTATATGAGACCTGTGCTTTCAGTGATCTATAGGTAGGCAACTTGGACTGCTCCACTGTATCTAAGGCTAGTATGCTCACTGAGGGATTACTAGGATACATAAAAGCTGCCTCCAAACTCACAACACTCTAATGCCTTCTTTTCTCCAAAATGCAACAGGAATTACCTTACAAATTGCAACCTGGCTACCACACATAGCACATCATCACACACAGCAATGTTAGTTACCTTAAGTAATCCCAAGAGTACCAATAGTTGGAATTCCAACCAAAATTCAGCATCAGCAGTTTCACTTCATCTCACCACCAGCTTCATTTTCCATAGTTGAGGCTTTGCTCAGACCACGGACACCAAACCGACCTCACAACTTTTTGACTTCTATGAACAGCTTTGAAAAAATTCTAAATAATTACATTCCCTTCCTAATCTACATTTACAATAACAACTATAGGTGGCTTACTTAGCATTTGGACTAAAAAACCTAGCTGTCATTGACTCTATCGACAATAATCTTAATAACTGCTACCTCTCAAATGATGCTACAGTAGCATTACTGTAGTAGACAGTGAACTATATCTTCCATATATAAAAGCTCAAGGCTAAAACCTTGCCTAAAAACCCCATGCAATCTGCTGAAATGTACTCATAAACCTGTTAATTCAACATTAGAGACAAACTTTTATTCATCATTAGTTGTTGTTGTGGTAGCAATTTGTGCTTTTTGCATGTTCATATTAAGCACCTAAGTATTGTCCATAAAGGTCATTCCAACAATCTTCATACACAAATATCTACATAAATTTAAAACCTACTTCAACATGTGAAACTTACAGAAAAAAGGTTGTTTACTGTCTTGTAGTGCTACTTGTCTATGCAATGCAAGGCTGCAAAGTACTTAAATAAAGCTCCTAGTAAACCAGACATCAGATACAGTTTACAAATATATAGTCATGAAAATAAGTAACCTATTTCCAAAACTTTCATAGAAGAGAGATTAATAGCTTCTTTTAAATAACTCTTCTTTGAGTTCATTAGTAAAAACTAGCATGGAAATAGTTGAAAACAGTGAATTTTTAAACACATGAGAGCATGTACTCATCACAATTTACTCTAACCCTGAAGAGCAGAGAGATCAAAAGCAGCGCTTGACTCCCTCTATAAAAATCTCCCTCACAGCTCCTCCAACAGCAATGTAATATGCTGACCACTACTGCTATGGGCTAGGTCACAAACTGAATAGCTAACTCTATATAAGGAATTCTAATACATGCTGGATCAGTAAGAAATATGTACCGCATTTATCAACATTCTCTTTTACTCTCATAAAATCCCAACAAAGTGAGCATAATGGAGAATTCAAAAAATGTTGGCACAAATTATTTCTCTTCATTTTTGTAAGTTCATGGGGTTTGATTTTGTTCTCAGACACCTATTGCCATGTATTCCTTCAAATCAGATAGTGCACATGTGTTCACTAGCAATGTCAATTAGTTTAAGAGATGAGAATTCCCATATGTCTACAGCTGAGCACTGGGTAGAAGCCACATATCCCAAGAAGCACTAATTCCTTCTAACAGTATAAAAGTATAAGTAATCTGGCCCATGAAAGAGCAAACTTTAAAAAAAATTCAAGAGAGTTAATAAAAACAATCAAAAAACATTTTAATAAAAAGTATTTCAGTGCACTCTTGTATTTAAAAAATACATAACATAATTTAAATCAAACTAAATGCAGAACTGTGAGCAGCTGAACTCACATGCCTTTTGGCACATATATTTTTGCTGCATAGTTAACTTGCTGGGCCATCAGCTTGTCCCATGCCCTTCCCACCATAAAAATATCTTCATCTTCATCCTTGCTGTTATTTATATTTCTGTCAATGCAATACTCCCACCTCTCTCCCATATTCCTTCCTAGCTTCTCCTGCTTGCTCCATAAGCAACAGACACCATTGTGCTAGCTTTTTGCATCTTGCTGATTGACCAATTCATCTCTGAAAGTGAGTTAGATGCTGTGATTTCTGTCTAGATATACTGCTGGCTTTTTTGTGGGAAATTAGCATCCTGGAGATGTCCATTCATCCATCCATCCACCCACTAATTTGTTTCAGGTGGTTGCTAAGATCAAGTGTTTAAGGGACAGATACCACAATAATATAAGCCTCATTTTAATGGGAAATTTGTCTAAAATGAGGTCATGCAAAATTCCAGTTCAAGGATAGGATATACTTTTTAAATGTGTCTGTTCTGCTCTACTTCTTTTATGGTATCATATTATTTCTCTTTAGAAGATCTTGTGCAATAAGAACTGTATAAAAGACAGCATCCAAAACAGCTTGACAAAATACAAATTTTCCAGTCTCAGTTTTAAGAATATCTTGCAATTCAATTGTTTTCTATTTTTGCCACATTTTAAAGCATGACTGCATGCTTTAGTGAGGTCACACTGTGAATACAGAAGCTGCCAATGAAAGTGGAAATGTTATACATCAATAAAAAATAATATTTTTCCATTATTCACAAGCAGAGAGTCAGAACTGTCACTTAAGCCACATACGTGATTTTTTGCATTCCTATGAAGTTTCACTGAAGTCCCAAGTCATTAAGGGAGATAGGAATCTAACAGAATTGAAACACTTGTAAAACTGGACTAAAACTGTAGCTACATCAGCTCCCTGCCGTTCAGTTTACAACTGTTCTACAGCCCCACCTAGTGGAAAATTACCTAACTCATTTGCCTCGCTTAAAAAATCTAGTATATTATTTATATGGACTTATATTACCTTATTTAATCTTTTGTACATGTTACTAATTACACTAAATCAAAATATGCACCTGCAGAAGACTTTTCCTTTCTTCATCAGATAGAACTTTCATGGCTCTTTTCTTGAGATACTCCAAGATACTGTCCTCATATTCTTTCTGAGCTTTCTTCATTTTTTCCTTTCTCTCTGTTACATATTTTGGTATAACACCATAGTCCTATAACAGTAAAGAATAAGTTTCTTATACGTGCTTTTAAGAAGGAAACAAAGACACACCTGTCATCCATAGTACATTACATTTGCAAAGACAGCTTGAAATGGAATGTTGTGCTACAGAGCAATAAAATCCTAAATCACTGTGTTCTTAGAAGTATCAAACATTATTGTCTTTGTAGCCTGAGTAAGACATGTAAACAATTCCCTTCAATTTCTTTTTGCAGCCTTGGAAGACAACAGAATCCAGAAACCAAAACATCTATTTATAAGAACTGATGGTTAAGTGAGGAGTTTGAAAACCCTTAATGACAGCAAGCTGTTTAATATTTTACATTTCTATATGGTGTCAGATTCTACATTCTGAAACACATTCCTTAAGTACTTTCTTTGAAGCATGTTCCTGTATCCTGACTTTTGCTGAACATTGCCTTCTCAATCAAAGAGGAAATGGTCAGGGACCTGCTGCAACATGTAAATATACACAAGTCTATGGGGCTGGATGGGTTGCACCTAAGAGTACTGAAGGAGCTGGTGGACATGGTCACCAAGCCTCTTTCCATAATTCATCAGAAATCTTGACCAAAAGTCCCAGCAGTTTGGAGGGTAGCAAATGCGACACCCATCTACACGAAAGGCCAGAAGGAGGAACAGGGAAACTACAGACCTGTCAGTCTGACCTCAGTGCCAGGGAAGGTCATGGAACAAATCAACTTGAGTGCCATTACACACCACATACGGAACAAACAGGTGGTCAGGCCCAATCAGCATGCATTTATGAAAGGAAGGTCCTGACTGATGAACCTGATCTCCTTCTATGACAAGATGTCTGGCCTGATGGATGAGGGAAAAGGCTGTGGGTGTTGTGCACCTGGACTTCCATAAAGCCTTTGACACTGTTTACCACTGCATTGTGATGAAAAAACTGGCTGATCATGGCTTGGATGGGCATGCTCTCTGTTGGCTGGATGGCCAGACCCAGAAAGTAGTGGTAAGTGGAGATAAATCCAGCTGGGGCAGGTCACAAGTGGAGTTCCTCAGGGATCAGTTTTGGCACCACTTCTATTTAACATCTTTATCAATTACCTCAATGAGACAGACTGGATCAATGAGCTGAGGTCAATTGAATGAGCTTCAGTAAGGCTAAGTGCTGGGTCCTGCACTTGGGCCGCAACAACTCCATGCAGTGCTACAGGCTGGGGGAAGAGTGGCTGGAGAGCTGCCCAGCGGAAAAGGACCTTGGGGTGGTGATCAACAGGTGTCTGATTATAAGCCAGCAGAATGCCCAAGTGGCCAAGAAGTCCAACAGCATCCTGGCCTGTATTAGAAATAGTGTAGCAAGCAGGACCAAGAGGTGATCATCCCTCTGTGCTCGGCCCTAGTGAGGCCACACCTCAAATACTGTGTTAGGTTTTGGGCACCTCACTATAAGAAGGACATTAAGGTGCTGGAATGGGTGCAGAGAAGAGTGGTTAGGCTGGTGAAAGGCCTAGAGAACAAGTCTTAGGGGAAGTGGCTGAGGAAACTGGGGCTGTTTAGTCTGAAGAAAAGGAGGCTGAGGAGAGACCTTATCGCTCTCTACAACTAACTGAAAGGACATTGTAGAGGCAGATGCTGGTCTCTTGTCACAACGCAATAGTTTATAGGACAAGATGGAATGGCCTAAAGCTACACCAAGGGAAGTTTAGGCTGAACATTAGGAAAAAATCTTTCTATGAAAGGGTTGTCATACACTGGAAAAGGCTGCCTAGTGAGGTGGTTGAACCACCATCCCTAGATGTGTTTAAAAGTCATATAGAAGTGGTGCTTGGGGATATGGTTTAGGGGTCAACATAGTAGAGTAAGGTTGAAGGTTGGACTTAATGATCTTAAAAATCAACCTAAATGGTTCTCTGATTCTATGATTTCATGCCACAGAAGAGAGTGAACAGTGTTAACACTTAGACAAAAATTAGACTAGTTAGCAATGATAAACTATCCCATGCTGGATGTACCAGAATTGTGTTTCTAAGGGGAAAATTTATTTCTGAATATCCTAGATAGACTTGGGGGAACAAATCTATTTTGCCTTATTCTTTGTAAAATGAAGCCTATGTAGCCCTACCAGAAGGTATCCGACTCCACCTTTTTCCTATCAAATGCTAAATGATTCACAGATCTCTCAGTGTTGGGTAGAACTATGACTAGCATTGTCTATCTATGTGTTTAGCCATGCAAAGATACTGCAAGGGCTGCAGGTCACTTTTTTTGCATCTTCTCTGTCATGAGTTATGTCGTATGTCATGTCTCTTTTTGCATAATCCTCTGTAATGAGCTACCAGTTTAGATAAGCCAGATGCCTGCTACATCTTGTTCTCCTGAGTACTGGAATGGACTGTTCTTGTGCTTGGATGAGGTTGTCCTTAGAGTCATGCCAGCTCTCTCAAGCTCCTTTCCTTTCAGAGCTTTTTCTTTCACAGGGTTCTACCTACTAGTTCCCTGAATAAGCTGAAGTTTGCTCTCCTGAAGTACAGGGTTGGTACATTACCACCTGCCTCCCAGAGGAGGAGGGGATCTTGAACTATTTCATGACCTGTACAACCAAGACTATTACTGATTATCACACCTGTGACCAGCTCTTTCTCATCTGTAAGTAGCAGAATGAGAAAAGCATGATCACTGGTTGGCTCATCAACCATCTATGGTAAGAGGCTGTTGCTGACATGCTCCAGGAACTTAACATCATAAACATTTCATAGAAGAATGCAACAGAGAACTTAAAATAGGCATTGCTACTAGTATTTCCACTGTAATTTAATAAAACTTACCTTTTTTTTAATATATTTTGGAACAAGTCCTGAAGCTTCAAGCACATATTTATCTCCCTGTCTCCTATCAACATGAATAGCCCGAGGCTTTTTAGGTAATTCTGTGATAGCAGCAACTGCATTCGTATTTATAAAATTCTTTTTACTCTGAAGTCCCATAACTGGGTGATCTGTCCTCCGTGGCACTGACAATGCAGGCAATTTCTTACTATCTTGTTCTTTTTTTCCTGTGAATTGAGCATGTAAACATTCTCAGCAAAAAACATGAAGAATTTTACAATTTAATGTTATTACATTTTTCAAAAGGACAAATTATGTGAAAAATTACTTTGAAATATAAACCAACTGTATCTACAATGAAAGAACTGACTGAGAATGTACTATGATGAAAATATGTAGAGTCAAGCTGTCAGAGTAGAGTAGAGTCAATATGTAAGGTCAAGCTCTATGTACTATGATGAAAATGAGTATGATTTTTTGGCATAACAAAAGTTTTCAGAACCTACGAAATACTACGTTGTTTTAGATGGATTTTCCTTATGATATGCCACTCATTTCCTCTTAAATGGAATAGTCTGGGACTTTTTTCAAAAGTAATTTTAATGCCTTTTACTTCAGATGTTAATTTTCAGGGCCCTGAGCCATTAATGGCCTTTCCTAGTCTCACCTGGGGCATTCACCCCACACCCTTGGGCTCAGGAGACCCATTTCAGCCCTGTCCTGTCAGTGCCTGGCTGAGCTCTGTCAGCAGTGCCTGCCCCTAGTCCTATTCCTGGGACACATTTTCATCACCGTCCCACTATGCTTGCCTGCCTCTGGTGTGGTGGGACTGTACCCTGTTGGTGAGGTCATTGAGGGCAGCTTACATTGTGGCTGCCCTCAATTTCTGGCTCAACCTTCCCTGAGGGATGACTCCTGCTCTTGTTACTCCTGAACACTGGTAAACAATTTCTCACAATCCTTTCTTCAGAAAATATTGAAATTCCTCCTTTTTAGTGTAATCTTTTCTGCAAAGCAGCAACAGAAAGTCAGTTGTCGCCTGAGTAGTCTCACTTCATATGAGTAAGGAAAGAAAATCCATTTTCCACCACATCTCCCACTAGATATAACTCTAATTTACAGTCATTATCAGAGATAATCAACATCTGAATAGCTGCAGCCAAAAGCGAGCTATTTTTTATGTTTCAACTTTTTTCACCACATGACAGTAAATGCTTACTGTATTTTCTAATCACATATATAATGTCCTTGTTCCTTGTTTCAGTATATTATGCAATAAATAAGAAACATATTTGTAAAATAGAAACATAATTTTTATACCAGAGATCCAGCTCCAGCATAGAAAAAGTATGTTAAATTTTTTTAAACAATTCTTATTTTCAAAATTAATATTATCCAGTTTTAAAATTAAAAAAAATACATTACATTTCATATTTCATTTCTACGCTTACTTGCTGGTAGCTTAGGTTCCTTTGAACGTTTCTGCAGAAAGTTTTTTGGAGATGGCACTTCAACTTTTGCTGGTCCCATAGTTTTCTGCTTTGCTTTATTTTTCTTTGCTTCTTGTTTCACAGATGGTGCATATATGGATATATACCTTGACAATAAAAAATAGCATAGAGAAATTAAAGGTCATAAAATTATTAAAAATACTTCTTCAAAGAATATATATTTTTGCAGTAGTTCATGCCAAAAGCCTAAGTTATTTTGTGGTACTCTCTCCCAAATAAAGGCCATCATTCATACAATCTCCATACTATAGCTAAGCTCAGCTCTGCACTGACAACTTGCGCTTTTTTATTTTGAAGTCAGCTTGGTCCTTCCTTCTATTTTGTCTCCAAGGTCAGTATTATCACACTTTAGGAAACACTGCCTACATGCACAGAATCTTTCTTGTTGGAAAAGACCTTTAAGATCATTGAGTCCAACCATAACTCTACCAACTCCAGTGAAGCCATGTTTCTCAGCACCACATCTATATGTCTTAAACAGTTTCAGGGATGGTGATTTAGCCACCCTCCTGGGCAGCTTGTTCCAGTGTTTAATTACCCTTTCAGTGAAGAAGTATCTAATCCAAATTTCCCCTTACACAACTTGAACCCATTTTCTCTTGTCTAATTGTGTGTTTCTCAGAAGACACCAACTACCCCCTTACTTCAGCCTCCTGTCTGCAAGTTGCAGGGAGGAAGGAGGTCTCCCCTCAGCCTCCTTTTCTCCAGGCTAAATACCCCCAGTTCCCTCTGTTCATATAAATACTGAACACAGACATTTTGAAAATCAACAAAACCTACATTTTGGAAATAAACTGCTGGCATGAATGAATTCGTTTTATGAGGTCGTGTGTTATACACTTTGGTCTTTATTTTTTAATTAACTTCATTTTGAAAAGGTGTTTGTTTGGGTTTTTTTTAAGGTGGCTATATGTCTTGTTCAAAAAGCCATCCAAAACATGCAGTTCTTGTGCATCTATAGAAAACTAGTAATCATGAACCTACTTTAGTGGATCTTCTGTATTTGAAAGTTTGTAGTGTGGGAAAGATGCAAATGCCAATATATCTTGGCCAATTCAGAAGCTGCAGTTGCAGTACATCATAGGGCCTTACAGAATAATCAAACACATCTAGGGAAAAGCTTAGCTGGCTTCAAAAAAGATGAGGCCTGCATTGATGAGAACACCAACTGCTTCATTCTATGGGATGGAATATATTTTAGAGGTATGTAAAACCTCATGCTTCAGAAAACATATAAAATGTAGCTGAGAGTTGGACATAAGGTCCTTGATCATAATTTTATTACTGTGCACTGTAAAATTGTTCCTGTCAATCCACTGTTTATAGACTGTTACAAGAGGTTAGATGAGATGGATGACTGCTCCAAAATAGCACAGCAAACTGTATGTTTCATGTATTACACAGATCTGAACTGTGATACTGAACTATTGTAATAAGTGGTGGTTTTGGTAACAACTGAAATGGCTAATGTGAAAATCAGGAAGGGCTGAGGTCTGAAAAGCTGTATGCATGTGGTATGCACACACTGCTGTTTTGGAGTAAGGCTGCATATGGTACTGTAACTTCTGCTTTAATCAAAAGTGTGCAAACATGTTCTCCAAAAGAAGCCAAATGCTAGGCATTAGCTGGTTAGCAGTATCTTGCTTCTGTGTGAAGGCTGGAGCTGTTACAGACATTTTCCTGAGGAAGCAGAGCTCCCTGCTCCTGAAGCTAAGGCTACCTCCTTGTACCTTTTAAAATCTGTCCATCTTCAAGAAACATGTCACATTAATTTACGGTAGACAAAAACTGACCAACAGTTGTGTTCTTCTTTCACACACACACAGAAGTGTTTATGAAAAAACTGTACCATGTCTTCAGGTTAGGAAAAACAGAACAGAAATATCACCTACGATGCAACCTATTTCGTGGAAATACTGAAAGAGGATAACAGACAGGATGTAATGTGAATAGAAGCAATAATAGCAACACTGATAAAAGCTTTTGTATATGATCTGCAAATATCTGATACATATATGTGTACTTGAGCATAAGATTAGAAAATGCTAGAGGACATTATTAAAAATGTGGAGTGATTTTGCCTTCTGAATACTTGGTCTCCAGAACCTAAGGAGTGTCATTTATATTTTTACTCATTTTAAAACTACTGAGTTATGACCTATGATAAGCTTTCACTCAAAGTACCATCAGCTTTCTTTCATATAAAATAACAGGGTTCTGAAAAAACATTATGTTTGCATCATTATCAAATAAGAACTTCATAAAAACTCTCAAAGAAATTAATACTAGGCGAGCAAAAGTAATTTTTGATGTTTTTAAGGTAAAAGGTGAGAAAGAAGCAAAGGAAACAGTGTCAGAAGGCACACCTGACATATTAAAAGAATGGAAGTGTGGCACTGAGGAAAATGTTAAGTAGCTTTTCACTGCTCACTGAAAAAATTATTTTAAGTGCAAATAACAAAGATGTCATGTAATTCCTTTGTGTGGAAAGAGCGCTTTGTAACTTCCTCACCAATGAACAGGATGATGTTGAAGACACCAAACTGAATCATCAGCTCATGCAGGAGGCTGCAAACCCTCACATCTTAGCTAGTGGCTCATTAGGAGAACCAATAACTATGCAAATACTGGAGTTTTGGTGTTGTGTTGTTTTTATTTTGTTGTTGGTTTTAGCTTTTTTGTTGTTGTTGTTTTGTTTTGTGGGTTTTTTTGTAATACATTCCGAGATGTACTGCCTTGCCAGAACCACTCACCCTGCCTGCAAGCGCTCCTGTCGCACCCACATACCTGGGAGGTTTGACAGGCTTCTCCTCCAGGCGGGGCAGGAGGGTGTAGACGCTCTCCCGAGCGCTCTGCGCAGCCATCCCGGCCGAGGGAACCGGGCGGGGAAGCGCCCACCC